TAATAATAATAACAATTAGGCATTTAATAATAAGTAATAACATAACAATTAATGAAATAAATAAATAAACAAATAACCTCAACTATTTCACAAATAAACGGGGCATTACAATAACGTTCGCCTCGATCGCACTTCAAGATCTTCAATCTTCCGGGTTTTTTGTGTTTCGAAATAGTAAAAAAGAAACCATTCAGAATTGCCGTATTTTTTGCATCCTTAATAGCCTCCTCATCACTAATAAACAGCGTAGTTGTATCGAAAGCGGAACGGTAATCAATACCGTCTTCTCCAAAATCTTCTAAAGACACCTGCAATGTAACACATATTTAATAATGTTAAAACATACTTATAATATAAATAATTAATTGAAAGATGTAATGTACTAATTTTTTTTTTAATTAACGTTCACTTTATATATAATTAATCTTCAAATTTTATTACTATAATAGTTTTCTTTTATATTATAAAAGAAAATAAATATATTACAATAACAATTATTAATATTATTATGCTAAAATTTTTGTTTTTGATATTAAAATAAATTTATTATAATATTTTTTACTTTATTATTGTCATTTATTTCTTTTTATATTATAATTATTATTATTAGAATTTTTTTATATAAATATTATTATTATTAGAATTTTGTTATATTATAATAATTATTAATCTTTTTTTATATAAATATTATTATTATTAGAATTCATTTTTTATTATAATAATTATAATAAAATAAGAATTCTTATTATTAGAATTCTTTTAAATTCTTATAATAATTTTTATAAAATAATAATAATAATAATAATAATAATAATAATAATAATTATTATAATATTTAAACTAAATAATAATACATAATAATAATAAATTAAAAAAAAAAAAGGTGTCCGACCGGTCGGACCGGCCGGACCGTATTCCGACCAGTCGGACCGGCCGAACACGTAAAGGTCCGTACATCCGGTCCGTCCGGAAAAAGACCGGTCGGTACGGACCAGAAAAGCGTGCCAGTGGTTAAATGTCCGGCCGGTCCGGCCGGACAGACAGTAAAAAAAAAAAAATTACCTCTGAATCCGACGACATTTTGGGCGGAAGAAAAAAATGTGGAGGGCAAAATCGTCCAAGGGGGACGGTGACTAATAATAAGGGGGGCGGTAATTAGTAACGCCCTTATTGTATCGATGTTATTAGGCATGGTGTCACTTGTTGCTCCACGGCGAGCTCAAATACGAGAGAAAAATCAGGATTTAGCAATGAATTGTATTACTTGAAAGTATATTGGTGGTGTTTGATTAATAGCTTATAGTTGATAACTAATTGTAGTAGAGAATAACTGACAGTGAATTGTAAATGCTGATTTGACTAGCGAATTATATTCAGGTGCCTACGTACGCCCGTATAAGGTGACTAGGGCTGTAGCCCGGGGTAAAAAAAAAAAAATCAAGTACCCTATAAGTATATATTAATTAATGAATTTTAGCTCAATGTATATTAAAATTTATTAACTTTAGCACTAACATATTTTAAATTAATTTTCATTAAAGACAACTACAAACAAATGAATATATTTATAGAGTTGTGGTAATGTGGATATATGTATGGGTGAAGTAAACTTACCACGTGGGCAACCCAAAGGGATTTAAATGTCAAATTTATGCACTAGTATTGATGGGTATGTTACAGCATTTGTAATTTGATGGTTAAACCTCCATAGAGGTGGAGGCAAGATTGAATGTTCCTTATTTGAGAGCAATTGATAGCATTTTGTTTTGAAATTTCATTTCGTAGAGTGAATAATGAAATTTAATTGTATAAATGAGTTTGAAATAAATAACTTTAAATTTTATCTTTTATTATTTTAATGATTGTTTTTATGTAAAATAATGTGATATAATATATTAAAAATGTATATAGATGGTTAAACAATATATTTTGTTTGTATTACGGATATATGTTATTTTTTTACCTAGTTTATGAAAACAAAAAGCTAATATTCGAAGGTAAAATTTAAATTTTGTTCTCTTCTTTTGTTGATAAATATACATATCAAATAAGGATAACAATATACGTAACATTAAAAAAAATTATTAAGAAAAAATCAACCTATCTTTTTGGATACTTGAAATTTATGCTTATTCATTTTTGTAAGTTGGACAAAGTACAATAGTATTAAATATTAATTAATAATTTTTTTTTCCTTAAAACGATAGAGGTATTATATAAATAGAAAGCGCACAAAGTGTGAAGAGAAGCAGCCAAAAGCTGAATAGTACAGACTGAAAAAACTTGGAGGCAGATCCAAAAGATCGCCTAAAGCCTGACATCTTTAATATTCGATTTTAGCTAAACTAGCCCCGGGTAATTTTGAATCCTAGCTACGCCCCTGATTATATTAAAAATGTAAATAGTTATTTGTTAAATAATTGTGTGTATAATTATTTAAAAAATTTGATGTTAGACATGTTATTTTGTAAAAGCTCTCATTTCAAACGCTCCTCCATTGAGCTTTTTTAACTGTTTGCAAATAGTTGTTTGGTATTGTGTATGATTATTTTTTATAAATTTTATATTAGACATGTTATTGTAAAAACTTTCATTTCAAATGTTCCTCTAATGTGCTTTTCTAATATTAGTGTTTTTTTTTTT